TGCATTTTAAAATCCCAGTCTGTCCCCCCACCCCGCCCCCTTGTCCTTCTACTCCACCATATTGCTTCTCTCTCTCTGATTTTATTCTTTTTTATGGCTGAGTAGTTTCTAGTGTGCAGCACAGGGAACTATATTCAATATCTTATAATAACCTATAATGGAAAAGAATATGAAAAGGAATATATGTGTGTAAATGAATCACTGTGCTGTACACCATAAATTAACACAACATGGAAAGCTGACCACAAGTCAATTAAAAATAAATAAATAATTAAATTTAAAGATATAAAATAGAGCCAGATACATAAATAAAGATATGTTAGTCACATTACTCATTGACATGTTAGAATTTTCATGGTCTAGGAGTTTCTCTACCTGAATCCTTGATTCTATCTAATCTTGAAATATCGAGCATGGTTGCCAGGGTTTTCAATCCCTCACGTGGCTAAATCCTTTCTCGGTTTCTCCCCAAGATTATTTTAACTCCATATTCCAAGATTAAAGCAACAGTTTTTAAGGTGAAAGGCAGGGATGGGAAGTGATGGAGTAAGGCACTGCCCCAGTTATGTTAAAAAAATAATAAGAAAATGAAAATGAATGTATGTATGTTCATGCATGACTGAAGCACTGTGCTGTGCGCCAGAAACTTACACGACATTGTAAACTGACTCTACCTCAATAAAAAAAAAGAGAGGAATCCCAAGAGTGACTTTTGGCCTACGGGATGGCGGAGGTCTAGGAAGGCACCCGAGGAGGAACAGGAAAGGTCTCTTCCTGCAGGCGCACCGTCGTTGACAGAGTGAGGAGCCACACGCGCTCCTGGATCAGACACACTCTATGGCTTCAGTCCCTGCCTTAGGTCTTAAGGGGCTGAAGCTGTCCTTTTAAAAGAACCAGAGTCTCATCCCTGCCCACACGGTTCCAAGTTGAGAAACAGGGCAAATTCCATGTCTCCGGAATATTTTAGCAGTTGGACTGACAAACTGGAAAATCATTTGCTTTCCTTTGGCCCTGAGAGGATCCAATGTTTCTTTGTTTTCCTTCCCTCCCTCAGAGCTGATCCAGCTGTAACTTTGCACCAGCCTTAAAAATTCACTCGAACTGCTACCCAGCGGGAGGATCTGTCTGCTAGCAAATAACCTGGTAGACAAGTTTTTTACTCTGAGACAGACCGCGGTGACTCGTGTGATGGCACAAAACCCAAGTCCTAGTTCTGAGCAGGGTGACAGCCTGTCATCCGAAGTCCTTTTCAGCGTCCAGTGGAGCACGTGTCTGCAGTGGGAAACGCACACTTCTTCCTCGGGCTTTATCTGCTCTGCTTAAATGGTCGTTACCTTCAACCCCTGTGTTGAGGAAGTGATGGAATTCTGTCACACAGATGAATACACTTAATTACACACCAGTATCTTCTTGGTCACATATCAGTAGTTATTTGAGTTATAAATCAGTAGACTGTTACATTATGAAGGTTTCTCAGAGAAAGCTGATGAAATTTTCTATTAACATACACACCACGATCCTATCATGATGACAAGTGTAAATTTGACCTAATTTCTGATTCACTGACGTGTTCAATAGACATTGACTGTGTTCTGGGCCTGGGGAAACAGCAGGAAATCAGAGGACAAGGGCCCTGATCTCACCAGGAGCGGCTGTTCCGGATCAGGAAGGTGGGTAATAAGCAAATAAGCAGATAGATTATCAGGATAATTGCATATTTTCGCATTAAAACATCTTCTAATAGAGATTTAACATTATTTCATCCGGTCTTTTCAAAAACCCTAGAAGGCGGGTAAAGAAGGGATTACCACATCCGTCTTCAGGGTTATTTTGAAGTCGCCGCCAATGCACTGAAAACTAAGAACAGTACAAAGATCTCCTTTCCACCTGGATTTCCCACTTTTTAATACTAACCATGTAACGTTACTAATTACTAACGTGACTGCATCGCCTCATCACTTTCTCCCCCTCTCCGAGAGATGGGTAGATGTCCTCCTGACTTCACGCCCCATCGCCCCTAAATGCGCCCCACGTGCCTCCTGCCGACGGGGACCGCCCCTCCACCACGACCACGACCACGCGCCGCTCCGAGCGGA